TCCTAGCTTTGATTTTCAGTGGCAACCTTATATTTTTTTAATTGTGGTCAGACCATTCACATGCTTAATTCCGCTCCCCGTGTTCAATCTTCCTGTATTACGTTTAAATGGGGACATTTTGCATCTTTTTTATAGAATAATGATGATAAACGGGCCCACGATACCGTGGCCCACAGACATCTACATATCCAATCACCCATATAGTACCGTGGGTGTCGTACGAGGCGACAGAGGGAACCTGAAACAAGAGATGAACAGCAGCATCTTCTTGATAACGACTCAAAATAGTAACTGTGGTTGCCAACCAGCTTGCCAAGCCTAGTAACTTTGGCAAGATCCCCTTTATGGGGTAATGAGTTTATAGGCTGCAATAGATTGATGGATGGGATAGATTCTGTGGAGAATTCTGTATATCTTTACATCGCTAACACATAAAATATTAAATAAAGGATACCGTAATTACTCTGATACAGAGTGTTTTTCATAATATAAGCTCGAGAAAAGTTTGTTCGTATTTTATATACAAATTCAAGACATTTATTGAGAGTTTAATTACATTTAATAATCATAGTATCTTATATGCCACTTTGTCCGATAACTTGTTGCCATCTTGTAGGTAGTGACATAATCCCGTTGCTGTAGAAATCTCGGGATTTTTGATTTAAAAAAAATACTACAAGAAGTTTTGACAGTCCTCTCTTGATGTTAACCTAACACTACCCAAAGAATTTAATGCAATTGTCATCATTACATTCTCTCTGACTTTTTACTGGATGGCCAAAGCTGTGTGTGGTCTTGCGTTATCATGATGAAAGACCATTTCTTTTCTGCTGATTAATTCCGGTCGTGTTTCCACAATTTCTTGCTTGATTCTCATTAGTAGAGTGGAGACCAGTAGAGTAGAGGCAGTAGAGATCCGATCAGTGGTTTTGCCCGGCGGTAAAAGCTTATAATAAACGATGCTCTTCCAATACCTCCATACACACAGCATCACCTTATTGCATGTTAATCTGGATTTCGCTACAGTCTGTCGAGCTTGACTACACTTTGAACAAGATCTTTTTCACAGGTTCTTATCGTAGGTGATCCACTTTTCATCACCAGTGATCAATCTTTTCAAAAATGGTTCGGTTTCGTTTCGTCTTCTCAATAGTGAGACCATGTGGTACCCAAATATCGAGTTTTTTTGTGTAGCACGACTTTTGAAAACGCTTAATCCAACTTTGTGCTGATCTTACTGACACTGCATTAGGTCTATAAGCGTCACATTTTCCCTTTTTTGAAATAAAACTTCAGAATTTATCGAATTTCTCGGTTAGATTCACTCATTATGGTGGTCTGGATTGAAAAATGGCGGGAAAGTGTTTATTACTTTTTTTTAAATATCTATAATCAGCCAGATACAAACAATACAACCAAAGAGCTATTTCCTCAATTTTATAAAACAAAATATGAAGAAACTCTTTCCTCGATATATTATAAGGCTAAGCATTTAGTAATGGTGCTACAGGCCGCGGGTTCAATAACCGCACGAACAAATATCGGTATCACCTACAAAAAAAATTCTGGGTTGTGTTTGCCACAACACAATCACACTTATCCAAGATTCGGGAGAGATTCCTACTGTGAATAACATTTTATTGAAAAGAAAAAATATATTACATATTTTGTATTGTCTGCACATACACAAAGTTCAATTTTGCGTAACGGACAGAGCACAGCAGTCTGCGACGCTGCTTACAACTGCTCCTGGTATTCCGCGGATGTGGTCTTCCGCAAGAGTTTGCTAATAGTACTAACGCGGTAAGTTTATACTTTATAAACCACTTAAGACTCTAACAAGATCAAGAAACAATTTTAGTCAAATCTATTCAGTTTATGGCAACGGAAAAATATATGTTAATCTTGAACGTATATCAGAGGGAACTGTTATCGCTAAAACATGTTTTTGTAACATTTACTTGATATAAAAAAGGATAAACTAACCTCCAAAAATAACCTTCCATCAAAAATATCTGTACAACTTATTAACATACGATGATAATATTGTTAACAATATTCAAATATAATATATATTTGAATATTGTTAATAATTTATTACGGTATTTAAATATAGTAACGTATTATACACTCACCGGCACGGAAACTTGGCCAAGCGGTTATCTCGCGATAGCAAAAGCTTTAAGTGTTTCTGATGAATGTTTGTTATGCAAGTATGTCAAAAAATGTTTACCCTCAAGTTCAAGAGGGTAATTCATTATGTTTAAGTGCACCATGACGAATTCTTTAATTTTTAGTTGAATCGGGTCATTTGAGCGACTAAGTTCACATTTTAAATTTGTGTGTTGTGAAAAGTTTACTGTAAGGTTATTCAATTATTGTGATCTTGTGTCTTAATTAAATAACTAAAGGTGCTTTAAAGCCAATAAAAATGCCATTAACACCAGCACAAGTTGCACAAGGCATTAATTGACCAAGGGCTGACACAGCGTGAAGTTGCTATTGTGCTTAACGTACCACGGTCCTCAATGCAGTATTCACTGAAACGATACCAGGAGACAGGCCGCTACACCCGCAGGCCAGGCAGTGGGGGCGTAAGGTGCACATCGGCCCGGGACGATCGTTTTATTGTTATGGAGATTTTGAGAAACCGCTACCTGACCGCTGTTGAGATACGCCAGCGGCTCCAAATCGCAAGAGGCGTTAATGTTAGTGAGCGTACGGTGAGAAGACGAATGGAGGAAGTGAATTTAAAAGCTCGTAGACCAGCACGAGGTCCAGAACTTCTCAGACAGCACCGAGTAGCCCAACTTCAGTTCGCAAGAGAACATGTCAATTGGACCCACGAGCAATGGGCTAGAGTGTTGTTCACAGATGAGTGTCGAATAGCTTTACGTGCTCCAGACGGTCGAGAACGAGTGTGGAGAAAAAAGAGGAGAGAGGTTTCTACCCATTACCACCACCCAAACTGTGAGTTTCCATGGAGGCTCAATAATGGTATGGGGAGGTCTAAGTTCCGACGCACGTACAGAGTTGGTCATCGTCGATAATCGGCTTACAGCTACTCGATACATCGAGGAAGTTCTTCAGGAGCACGTAATGCCTTATTCGGGATTCATTGGACACGACCAATTCCTCCTCATGCACGATAATGCACGCCCGCACGTCGCACATTGTGTAGAGGAATATCTGGAAGAGGTTGGAATACAAAAATTACAGTGGCCAGCTCGTAGCCCGGACTTAAATCCAATTGAGCATGTATGGGGTATGCTCAAAAGAAAGATAAAGTCCAGCTCCAAACCGCCACAAACTCTAAATGAGCTCCGAAATGCATCGCTGGCCGCTTGGGACAGCATACCGCAAGTTGATGTCAGAAACATCATTCAAAGCATGCCAGATCGAATGCAAGCGGTTATCAGGGCTAGAGGAGGAAACACCCGATATTAAAACTGATAGACAATAAAGAAACAGACTTAATTTTTAACTTTGTAGTGTTTTTAAAGTGACAATGGAAAGATGTTAATTTTAGTGAAAACATGTTATCTTGAAAAGAAAAATTTCGGTGAAGTAAACATTAAATTTCTATGTTCTAAAACCATTAGAGACACTTATTGAATGCATCTACCCTTAATTTACTGTTAAAAAAACGTTTCAGTGCAAATAATCAGCAAATTCACGAGTGGCCAAGTTTCCGTGCCGGTGAGTGTATTTGAATACCGAAAATTGTTTTTTATTTTATATTTGATTGTTGAACAGTAAAGCAACACTTTTTTATTCACTCATTCTTTTCATCCCACTGAAAGTCTACTGATGAGCCTTTTTTATAGCATTGGGTGACAAACGAGCACACAGTCCACCTGATATTAGTGAATACTATGGCTCATAGACATCCACATTTATCTTCAACTAAGGATCAAAATGAAAATGCATTGTCACCGCTGAGGACTAAGATGGAATTCCTCGATTCCAGTAAAAAGGTCACTGGTTCTCTACACTCCCCCATACGAAACACAGCAGCATTACGCTGCCATTTTACGCTGGTATTCTGTGAGAGCGTGGTCCTGCCCCGAGCCGACCCATTCGTGCTACAACTATAATAAAGCTATGGCGTGGCTCTACAACGTATAATGCCTTTTGTTCCATCCTTCAATAGAAACATACGAAATATTTATTTTGCCATCGGTACCTCGTTTGACAGGCCGGCTGATAGCTGTAGTTTTTTATCATTTTGAGTTTTTATCAGGATGATGCTCTTGCCCCTCTCCTGTTCCATTTACCTTTGTCACCTGTTACGAAACTAAGGGGATGATATGGGATAGAGGTTTCTCATACGCCGCCCTATACGCCACATTTGATATTTATATAAAATGAAATACTTACAAAACTTTCGTATAGAAATATTATGAACAGTAATAGCTTCTTGTAATCAAACAAATACACATCCAATTTGTATATTTTTAATAAATAGTATAATAATATAAATTTATGTGGTAAAGCCAAGCTACATAGCTGCAGCGTGGATCTACCACGTATTATGGTTGTACCACGAATGGGTTGGCTCGACTGGGGAAGGACCACGCTCTCACAGAATACCAGTGTAAAATAGCAGCTTATTGCTGCTGTTTTTCGTATGGTGAGTATAGAGATCCGGAGACCCTTTTTACTGGAAACGAGGCATTCCATCTTAGGACTCAGGGGTGACAACGCATCTACTTTTTGATTCTTAATCTAGGATAACTGTAGATGTCTATGGGTCACAGCATCCACTTACTATCAGATGGACTGTGTGCTCGTTTGTCACCCTTATTCTATAAAAAATATTAAATTCAAAATAGGAAAAACAATTAAGTTTTGAAACAAGTAGTATTATTGTGACTTGTTTTAAGAAAACATTATATATGTACACTAGGCTTAAAGACTAAAACATGGTAACATTAGTATATTATATAAATTATGCAGTAGTAACAGAATTTTCCCTAACAACAGGAATTTATTTCCAGCGCTCAGAAGCCGTGCAAGTTGACAGCGATGGGTTTCGCAGACGTTAACCTTATGGCGTTTACAAGTGTGAGTGATTCCGAGGAATGTTTTTTTTTTCTACCAGCTAGTATTTAAATATAAAGACAATACTTTTTTTCCTGTAAGGAGCCTTATTTATTATTCGCTAAAAGAAAAAAAAAACACCTTTCAATGAAGAGAAAACACCGATACGGAGCTAAGGCATAGTGTTATAGAAAAATTAAAGCCCGTATTTCGGGATATGAAAATATTTATTCTTTTTTGTTCTTTGAAGTCGTATTTTATTAATAGTTATTTTCTGCTCTCTTAAGTAAATAATATTCCTTATTATCACAATCTCAATTTTGTCGAAATAGTTACAGTAATCCTATTTTGCCATCTTTGGGGGTGATTTTTTTTTCTAAATTTATGTGAGACTACTTCCGAAGTGTAAAACTATATATTAAAAAAAAACAACATGAAAATCAGTTCACAAGTGACGTAGATATCACGTACCTTATATCCTTTAAACTCCTACCTTGTTTGGAATCTGCTAAGAATGTATTTCCTTGTCAAGCAACGTAGATAGTTATCGGGTAGGTACCCACCGCATAGAGTTGATGGTTTGAACACACTCAAACGAATAAACTTTTATTTTGACAATAGCCTCATCTTCTGTGGTCACCATCACACTTATCTCAGTATATGTGTAGTTGCGACAAGCCGAAGGATGTTCAACTTTTGCTTTTAGAATGTGCCCAAAAAAAGACAAAGATAATATCAAGTTTTAGATGTTAATGTTTTTTTTCGTATCGATCATGATCTTAATCATCATAATCATGAATATTTGGAATCAATGGAATGAAATTTATTGGTAACCTTAATTTGGTTGAAACCAATCTTACTAGCCTCCAACACAGGAGCAATGTAGCCAGCCTTTCGGTTTTCTTTAGGAGAGTGTGCACAGGAATTGTATGATTCAATTACTCCCCCTCCCTTCCGCCATCGAACAACCAGACTTTCGGCCAGTCTGCACTAGGGCATGGATACCGGTATACCGGTATACCGGTATACCGAAATACCGGTATACCGGTAAAATTTTCGGTAGTTTTAAGACCGGTATTTGAGGATAAAATACCGGTATTTCGGTATTTCATAATAAGTGATCTATTTTTGCAAGGTTGTTTAAATACTACAGAACACTCCATTTCTACAGTTCATACTGTTGTTCATACTGCTGATGAGTTTTCATATGACATCAATCACGAATAATCTCGATTGTAGAAAAATAAACTCAAAATTAACTACGCAAGACAATGTATGCATATCGTCGCTGATCTTTGCCGGCTACTTACCGACTGAAGACGTGCATTGAAAATACTCTGATAAACTTAAACTCTGCTGTCAAGGTTTCCCAAGAAGAGTTTGAATTGCTGCATTCCATTCAAAAGAGCCCGAAAATAGTCAAGATGACAGTGAAAGCACTTTGCCGACGAGATGCGACACTTTTAACTGCAGAAGCTGCCCTTAAATATATGCTACGAAAATTAAATAACCAAAAAACAAGTTTATCTAAATCTCTGGCGGAAGCTCTAAGAAAGCGCATATCGGAAAGACGACACAACCTATGACTACAATTTTACAGTATCTATCTTCATAACCCAGAAGAATATTTCAAAGAAATTGCAGAGACACGCCAAGATAACCATCCAGAGTTTCCTAAAATGAGTTGTGATGAAATGATTACGTCAATTACTGAACTTATTCATCGATTGAAAGAACAGACTCTCAACTCTCTACAAAACAGGAGTGCGATGAGCTCACCCGCTGCCGCTTATGCTTCTGGTGAAAAGGAAACAAGTGAAGATAACACAGGTACTAATAGCAGTACTTAATCTGTGATGGGGAAGGAACTTAATAAAGCAATAGAAAAATCTATGACCAAAAAAGCAAAACAGATCCCAGATCGGCGAGGAAGAAGAAGATAACATTCAAACATTAATTCGAATTGAAATGACATTGTATGAAAATGGAGGTTCGGGAGGTAGGTTTTCGGATGCAGCTTACAATTAATTCTTAAGTATTCCTCACACGAGCGTTGGATCAGAAAAGGTCTTTTCAGCTGCAAATAAATTACATTTGTAAAAAAATAAGATCATCACTCAACGACGCCAGTTTGGACGCGTTGTGTTTTCTTCGTTCGATTTTGCAACAAACGCTATTTGTCTGATTAAAGGTCTTGAATACTTGAGTTAAATTAAGCCTGCGCCTACATTTTGATTTAATTACTTTCGATACTTTCATTTGCAGTTTGATTTTGTTTTAACAATAGTTCATATTCGTAGTTTAAACTGTGACTAAGAAAGATATTTTTTAAATGTTTTCTTATCATTAGATAGTAAGAGTGATTTTATTACCGATTGTGATATTTGTGCCAATGAAACAATATAAAAACAATTGTTGGATCAAATAACGTGTTTTCTTTTTTATTCTTAATTACCTTTATTTTATCTCATTTTGTGGATTCTAGGAAGTTGATAAATAGTTTCAGTGTTTCTGCCATATAGCGTAGGAAATTGCTTTAATTGCTCTCCACAAACAAGACTTATCAATCGTTATTGGAATCATTTAAATAGTTATTAGCAGTATTTAAAAATACCGAAATAATTCCGAAATTTTGGTATACCGGTTATTGTAATTTCAATACCGGTATCAATACCGGTATGAAAATTATTCCGGTATTCCATGCCCTAGTCTGCACCCTTTCATTGTCGACTTACCACCCATTCCAACCAAACTGTTTGCTACGTCGTTCGTCATGCGTACATCAAAGGAGTGGAATAAGTTGCCAGCATCTGTGTTTACATCCGATAACAATGAAGGTGACTTTAAGGCAAGAGTGAATAGGTTTTTGTAAACTCAGTGCGCTTTACCATTTTCGGCACCACTATTTACCATCAGGTGGGATTGTAGTTAAGTGCTGGCTTGGAACAATTTAAAAGAAATCAACAACAGCCCAATAAAATGTACCACTGAATATAGTTTTCAATAGTTGCCAAGCTTGGTAAGTGGGTTGGCAAACGCGATTTGTTGTTTAAGTTGTTACTAGGAAGGTACTGCTAAGCTTCTCTTGGTTTGTTTATATCTGTTGCATCTGACAATTCTTGGCATAGAAATTTTAATAGCATTTTATCTACCAACCTCAAGCCAAGATATTTTGTGTGTCAGTGGTAGCTCAGGGGGCTAAAAGCTCGCCGTATTTTTTTATATCATTAGGTGAAAAACGAGAACACAGTCCACCTGATAACTGGATGCTGTGGCCAATAGACATCTGTTCACTTTTCCTCAATTAAGGATCAAAAATGCAAATGCGTTGTCACCCGTGAGAACTAAGATGGAATACCTCAATTCCAGTAAAAGGGGTCGCCGGTACTCTACACTTACCATACGAAACACAGCATTACGCTGCTATTTTATGCTGGTATTCTGTGAGAGCGTGGTCCTGCCCCGGTCAAGTTGACCCATTCGTGCTACAACTATAATATAGCTGCAGCGTGGCTCTACTATATCCATCCTATCAAATTTCATTGTACGCAAGCAACCCGGGTTTGAATCTCGCCGGGAAAGAAATTGTTAATTGTAATTTTAAGTGATTTACCACAAGCTCAACGGTAAAGGAAAACATTGTGAAGAAACCTTGCATGGCTGAGAAAATAAAAAGAAAATATAAATATCGAAGACATGAAAAGTCCGCACAGGACCAAGTCAGCACCGCAGACATACCCTTGACCTAAGCCCTCTCAGAAATAAAAGGCCTGTGCCCAGTAGTGGGACGTATATAGGATGTAACTTTTCTTTCGAAAATGATCATACAATTATTATCGAAATGCTGAAACCGTGTAGTGGCTGTGTATAATATCTACTATCCCATATCGTCCCGTGGGTGTCGTAACAGGTGACAGAGGGAAATTAAAACAGGTGATAGGCATCAGCGTCTTCCTGATAACAACTCAAAATAATAAAAAAACTGCGGTTGTCAGCCCCTATGAGGCAAAACGAGAGCAACCGTTTATGAGTCAATCTATGGGGGAGGCCTATGTTCGGCAGTGGACTTTTAAAGATGATGATGATGAATCTCACTTGCAGAAATGTTACAATATTATGTCAAAAAATTTGGTCCTTCGAGCCGGATTTGAACCAGCACCTATCGTCAAGCAATAGCTTTTCTACGCTACTCATTGCAATTTTTTGGTTTGAAGCATCAAACAAATGGTGCAAATAGAGGCTATGAGATATTTTATCTTTCCGTGTTGCTATTATTTGGGTGTACGTGCTACGACAGTCTCTTACCATCATGTAAACTTCATTTTGTTTTTTTGTTTTGACACTGTTATATTGTTAAAAATATGTTATTTGTAATATATTATATTAGATAGGGATGATCTTATGTTGCCAATACACGGCGAACTAATTAATATAAATGCCAAAAAATAATTGTGGCGTTCAATAGATACAAATAAACATTAGAATCATCTTTTATAATTCACCTGGAACAGTTACAGCGATAAATTACGAATTATCAAAAGTTACCTATTGCAAAAGGTATTATGCTAGATAGTTTCTGTTTTTTGTTTGCGGTTTCGGATACAAAGATATGGCGAACGATGAGTAGATGGATTATGTTACGACGCCACCGCACTGACTGTAATGTGTTAATTGTGTTGGTATTGATTTTGTTTCAGATTCTGAGCAGCTCTTGGTCGTATTTCTGTTTGTTGAACACCATGTACACTCCAAAAAATTAATCATGTCGGTATCTAATTTAAGAGTACACGTAGAAAGCAATAATTATTTTTAACAACAACTTCAAATTGAATATTTGTTAAAACCATCAACAAAGGAATCACACAGAAAAGTTAATAGCAATAGAAGAAAAAAATGCTCAAAATGTAGTTATTAGTTAGCATTTTGAAGTTTGACATTTGTAGTTGTCAAATTAGTCTCTGGAAATAAAAAAATAAACTGTACGGTGGCTTTTATTTACTCCTGTACAAAAAGTGTGTAATCATTACGTATTTTCCATTATCCCTATATTTAAAGGAAATTTAACTGTAAACAATAATTTAAAACCAGTAATATACAACCTATATTATTAAGGTTAAATAACCTTTCATTACGAGTGACAACTGCGTAATTACATTACAATAAGACACCCCCAATCGTAGCCTATAATTACATAAACATTCACCAGCTCTACACTTCCAAAGTGTATACCTAGATTACTAATAATCAGTCTGTAACATTGTTATTTATAAAGGGTGTTAATTATTTACATTTACAAAAAAATTGTATCATTATATGTAACATTAGCTTGCCCAGCAAACGTTTATCTAGACTTTTGTGGTTGAGGTCTTCTCCGAATTTTCTCGAGATTTTTTACAGTGTAAACATAAAATTTATTAATAACCCGACCACAACACCATGGATAGGATCCAGATGTATTTTTTTTTTTTTGGTAGTAAAGTAACATAAGGTTATATATATGAACTACGTGACGGAACTCCTTTTTTGCCGCGAAAACTGTCTGGTTAGGTAGAGCCACGCTCTCACAGAATACCAGCGTTAAATAGCAGCTTAATTTTTTATATATAGGATGAGGGTGACAAACGAGCACACAGTCCACCTGATGATAAGTAAATGCTGTGGCTCATAAACATCCACATTTAACCTCGATTAAGAATCAAAATGCAGATGCGTGGTCACCCTTGAGGACTAAGATGGAATGCCTCGATTCCAGTAAAAAGGGTCTCCAGTTCTCTACACTCACCATACGAAACACAGCAGCATTAAGCTGCTATTTTACGCTGGTGTTAGAGCGTGGTCCTTCCCCGGTCGAGCGGACCCATTCATGCTACGGCCATAACATAGCTGCAGCGTGGCTGATGCTGTGTTTAATATGGTGAGTGTAGAGAAACGAAAATCCTTTTTACTGGAATGCCTCGTACATTATTAGGTAACAAAGCATTAGCACCATTTAAACCATTGCGTCCACTTCCTATCAGGTGGACTATGTGCTCGTTTATCACCCTTAATCTTTTTTTTAAAACCTTTTTCTTAAGCTAATGCATTTACTGTTGTGTTCTTCTTTCTTCTTCTTCTTCGTCTTAGACCTCAGAGTTGATAAAGCATCCAAAGCCTTCTTTACTTGAAGTTGGTTGGAGGTGCCACTTACCACCAGGTGGGCTGTAAATTTGTTTGTCACCTCAGTTTTATAAAATAATAAAATAATATCTAAAAACTGCAAATTATTGATTTAAAAACAAGAAAATGTATAAAACAAAACACATGCGGAGATACGGACTATTAGAGTGATGGTCGTGTGGTTATGTTTTTCCTGTTTGCGGCAACGACATAAATCGCATAAAGCCTTTCATCACGTTAGAGTAGCGTCGGAATTTGGATGTCGGGTTTGCGTTTCCTTTTTAATCTGTACACGAAGATAAATCAGTATCAGAGCGGAAACTTTTCCGGGTTCCTTGCAAAAGAATGAAAACCTAATTTTTTTAGATCAACCATGGATAACTTTCTCAATTTATCAGCCAGTATATATTTCATCGGCTACTTTCTTCATCACTATCACCACTGCCTGTCAAAGTTCACTGCTGAAAATAGGTCTCGTAAAGTGAATATATGCCATATTTGCCACACTTGCCAGGTTAGTTTGCAACCGGAAGTTTCCTAATTATTTTTGGGTTGTTATTAGGAAGTCGCTGCTGTATCTCCAGTTTGTTACTCTCTTATGTTGGTTTCCTAGGACGCCAATACACGGCCTCTTCCTTATTCGGGAATATTTTAACTTATTGATAAGGTTGGCCTCGCTTGCCTTCAGATAAATTTAATTAAATTGAAGTCTTTATGGCTGAATATCTAACTTTATCATAGTCGGCTCAACTCTCGAGACGTTTATATCCATAGTAAACAATTTGTGAGCCTGTTTGTTATCAGTTAAGGTGGATCGGCCATTGGCAACACAATTTTCTAAATTATTTATTCTTTTTTATAGAATAAAGTCAAGCGAGACACACGGTCAACCTGATGGTAAGTGAATACTGTGGCCCATAGACATCTACATTTACTTTCGATTAAAAATCAATACGCAGATGTGTTGTCACCCCTGAGGATATCTCGTTTAAGGTAAAAATATTTTCCGGTTCTCTACACTCACCGTACGAAACACAGCAGGATTGAGCTGCAATTTTACGCTGGTATTCTGTGATAGCGTGTTTCTCCTGGTATAACAAAATATAAAAAAATGTTACATAGAATTTATTAATAACTTGACTACAGCGCCACCCATCAGATCCTAGCAAAACGCTCATCGTTTTGATAAAACATTTAAACTGTGTGAATATAACCTCAACCTCAACCGTTCAAGTCGGTCAGATATACCAAGTATTTCCAAAAGTCTTGAATGTGTAGTATATATAAAATATACTACACATTCAAAAGGCTTTTTAATTATTATATATAATTTATTTTTGAAATTATTTCCATTAAGTTATTGACTAAAGGAGACAATTATGAAGAATGGGTCCACTAGAAATTGTGGCGTATAGTTATGAAATGGGTGTCGATTTGTTCCTAATAACCTCTGAATTGCAATAGTAATATTAATTAGTTACCCTATATCATCGGAAGAGGCGAGAGAGTGCCACTAAATCTGAAGGTGGGCCACAGCATCTTCCTGATAAAAACTTAGTAAAAATAACAAAATATGTTTGCCAACCCGCTTGCCAAGCGTGGTAACTATAAATAGGGGGATCCATATGAGGCAGTTTCATAGGAATGCAGCAGCAGGTTTTAGATAGGCCTAGGTTACCTATGTTACTTTTACCATACTTTTAGAGAAAAGAAAATAAATTACGTCAGTGTCGTGTCAACACACAAGAATTCAAAAAAGTGTTACTGACCGACCGTAACGTAAAAACCTTGAAAAATGGCGATTTCAACAATGAATCAAGTTAGAAACGTTGCAACTTGTAAAATAGATACTTAATGCTACTGCGTTACTGAGTTAAATTTGAGACTCTTTTATTGAAAGCGAAGTATTATATCTTAATTCTCAGGGGTGACAACGCATCTGCATTTTAGTTGCTAATCGAGGATGGAAGTAGATGTCTATGGGCCACACAGCATTCATACCATCAAGTGGACTGTGAGCTCATTTGTCACTCTTATTCTATAAAAAAATGTATTGTATTTTAGATACAACTGTACTGAACCGTAGGCGTTTGATCCAAATTATGCTTGGCTACTTTTTTGGTTGTTTAGTGGTCCTATAACGTCCAACGTTCCACGCTTGTTTTTATCATTTTACCTCGACGCAACAAGTTGCAACGTTTCTAACTTGATTCATTGTTGAAATCGCCATTTTTCAAGGTTTTTACGTTACGGTCGGTCAGTAACACTTTTTTGAATTCTTGTGTGTTGACACGACACTGTCGTAATTTATTTTCTTTTCTCTAAAAGTATGGTAAAAGTAACATAGGTAACCTAGGCCTATCTAAAACCTACTGCTGCATTCCTATGAAACTGCCTCATATGGATCCCCCTATTTATAGTTACCACGCTTGGCAAGCGGGTTGGCAAACATATTTTGTTATTTTTACTAAGTTTTTATCAGGAAGATGCTGCGGCCCACCTTCAGATTTAGTTGCACTCTCTCGCCTCTTCCGATGATATGGGGTAACTAATTAATATTACTATTGCAATTCAGAGGTTATTAGGAACAAATCTACACCCATTTCATAACTATACGCCACAATTTCTAGTGGACCCATTCTTCATAATTGTCTCCTTTAGTCAATAACTTAATGGAAATAATTTCAAAAATAAATTATAGATAATAATTAAAAAGCCTTTTGAATGTGTAGTATATTTTATATATACTACACATTCAAAAGACTTTTGGAAATACTTGCTATATCTGAACGACTTGAACGGTTGAGGTTGAGGTTATATTCACACAGTTTAAATGTTTTATCGAAACGATGAGCGTTTTGCTAGGATCTGATAGGTGGCGCTGTAGTCAAGTTATTAATAAATTCTAGCAAGCGAGCATACAGCCCACCTGATTGTAAGTGAATTCTGTGGCCCATAGAAACCTACATCTGTCCTCGGTTAACAATCAAAATTAAGATGCATTGTCACCCCTGCGGAGTAAGATTAAATGCCTCGTACTCAGTAAAAAACGTCTACGAAAATACGTAAATGGGTCAAAATGACGCGTATTCGCAACATAATATGTAGGTTTCGTGTCAAAAAAAAGAATTACAATATCAGGACCCGATATGTGATACCGTAGTTGAACTAATGAAAAATTTCAAATTTACACTGTAAAAAGTCCTAAGAGAATTCGGAATGAAACTCGTCGCAGCACCAACCGGAAAAGGCAGGACAACGTCTGCCGAGGCAGACATTAAAATTTTTTTGTATAAAAAGAATATAAGACAATACATTTGAATTTAGAACGACGTGCCTGAATGCAAAAACACTAGCTGAAAAGAAAGCCGCATCACCTGTTAGCCACAAACTAATATAAAGTATGTACTAGCGTACTGGCTGCTGACAACGTTCACGCTAGTGGTTTCTTTTTTTTTTCATTTATATGATTATGTTTATTTATATTTATTTAACTGGATGAAAGGAAAAAATCCTAAATAAGAGGAAGCTCTTGCTTAAAGTACTTGCTTTTTGTATTTCCAATTCAAAGTATTGATTTTAACTACAATTTGAAAGAGTCTTA